AAACTACTTTTTACGAAATTCCAGCCGACGAGACCTTTACTCGTCTTCAACTGTGTAAGAACATTGAATGCGCTTTGGAAAGAACTATTACAGGCACTCTGTTTTCTATGTTTGAACTGTTCATCCTCGCACACTATAAGATTATATTAAGCTGGTTTCTTACAATTTGTTAATTGGTTCTTTTGTGTCTGACTGCACGACATATACAGTTTCAGGTGAGGTTACCGAAAGTTTTAAAATATAATCTTTCCTTTAAGTTTTATAACCACTATTTTGATTGAATCATTCACTGGACACTACATTCTAAAACTAACTAAACCGCCTAACAGGTCACTTCTTGCAAGCCAGGTGAAGCTCTATCGAATCTAGTTTGGTCAGATTTCATAGAGTGTCCCTTTTGAGACGTTTGGAGATGACGACTTTCCTAAAGATGAATGTTTACGCAAAACACCCAAGGGCGAAGTTATGCCCTCAAACTGATATACCGCCAGATGCTATCAAAACTTTATCCAGTCTGAAGACTCTGATTGATGAGTGCCAACAGAATCATAAAACATTCGTAAATGGATATTATGTAGTTCTAGTCTGCCCACTTGTTGTCTTCTGGAAAAGCAGTTGCTTTGTAATTTAGAAACGAAAAGACACCAGTGTACGACCTCTTATATGGTGCAGTATCGGTCAAAAAAGGCCATCCTATATTCCACTTGAAAGCATATAGTTTTTGATACAAGAATATCTCACGGGTCAGTGCTTAATAGGCGTCAGTTCCATTTTTTATCCTGACGCTGAAATTGAACACACTTTGTTATCGCCTGGAGGATCTGTTTAAACCAACCAAATTCGTTTCAAGAGTAAACGCAGGCGTCATATACATAAAATTTTGGCGGGTAGGATAATAACAATATTTTTATTAAATGTCGCAAAGTCATGTCTAGCGGCAACATCAGTGATACAAACATTATTTTTCCGAAATGACAGAATCAATCGTCAGAGATGAAAATTCGATACAAAAGTCACACATGCACAAGCCAAAATTGATTTGAATTAATGTGTGACTGGCCGAGCGTGACTAATTTTTCACGTGCTTAATATGAAAATGGACCTTAGGACAAAGTGCAAAAAATGGGTATGTCAGTACATTACATATACTTAAACCTACACACATACAGATGCGTGGTATTCAAAATTTTATCTGAACGCCTACGACGACCGGGTTCAGTGCCTTCCCACTTTTGTCGGTAGGCAGCGCAGATTTCAAAATCACGCATGCCCTAATGACTGATTTACTGTCAGTGGATTCGTGTAAAATGATATGTTCTGCAAGATATACTAAATGTTTTCTGGTAACATAAGTTACCTACATCAAACCTCGTGCAGTGAATGCACAGAGAAAGCGGAATCATTCACGCAACGCTCGCTGAAAATTTAGAATTTTTCCAGTAACAGTATACCAAAATTAGCGCTGTTTGAGATGAAATGAGTTCCGAGCTTGTCGGCTGGTCAGTAGAACTTGACTTTGTAACAGTACTCTCACACTTAGGTCTAGGCATTGGTTTTAACGCATTCAGATAACTCACCAATAAATTACAGTCAAATTATTTTATTGAAATGGCCATCAATAGGATCACCGTTTATGTAAAATTGGGCTGAATTTAGAGCCACTGAAACGATAATATTTGAATTACATGTACGAATCACTATTGTTTAGAGGTAATAGTCGGATTGTTCACTTCTGGTCAGTTGATCTAAATGGCCAAACACACAAAAGTCCGATGTATTTGTACAGATCTAGCTCTTCCCCAGCTCAGGGTTTATGACCCTGTGATTAGTTGTGAAACGCAAACCATGGCTTAACACGTGCCTTCACTTCAAAAACAACAAGGGAGTCCAGGATAGGGGAAAAACGCTTGCTGCTGGACGTTTTAGTATCGTATCACGCCCCCAATTCTCAGCGTTAAACTCATTTTGTAGGTACCTCGAATCACTTGAGCTGACCAAATATTAATTAGATATTGCTTGCTGGTGATTTCAAGATTTTGTAGAGTACACACTGAGATGATTCTCATTTGAACGATCGTCCTCTGTCCTTGCGCAATCTTTTTGATGAGTCCACACAAAACGCCGGAGCACTAGACATGAGGTCTTCCCTTACCAGATCTCATCAGCAGTGCATATTCGTAGCCGTGCCAGAGTTAGAACTTCGCACATGTGACATGAAATGTGAGCGTGTTACCACTAGTCTACCAAAGCATTATGAAAGCAACTGACTTTTTACGTCTGAACTGGTGGATATGTTCTGGTTTGAGCGATGTGATCGAAAACCGCGACGGCCCGGAGGACGACCCAATAACATGCCTTGATTGTGTCGATCGACTTACGTGCCAGTCAGGATTGCCTAGTCAGGGAGCCCCACATACGTTTGAAACCTGCTGGGCACTTCCTGTCCCAGGTGTTGTTTTTTCCGGGATTAACCCCCAAAATTAGTGAACATCATGCCATACTGAAAGCGACTTGGTTATGATATTACGGATTGAACTTAATGGTAGGTTTCCATTTCTAACACATGAAACTATGATCCAATAGCTAACCTGTGCATTTTCCGGAACTAATTTTGGTGGCAACTTTATTTTCGCTTGCATAACCCCACATGCAAACCCCACGTCCTTCTCACTGGGTTCGCTATGTACAAAATCATACAAAAAGAAGCTCTGAGTAATCATCTTTTGAGATACACTCTGCCTTATTATTCAAAACCTTCAATGGAATAACAAATTGCTACATATAAGGGAAAATCCTTGATGACTGTGTGCCCTGAGAAATCTGTTCTATCTTTCCTGCAACATTAAGAAGAGGTCTCATTTAAACATAAGTATCAGTCTACCCTTTGGATCATTCTCAAATATGTAACGGTCCATTCTGTGGATGAGCGAACTGGATCGAAAGCCGAATGGACTAAGTATTATTCATGTCATTACATTTCAATTCCATCTCAAAGAACTACACTTCCATACCTGGCATGTTCTCTCTCTCTCTGTGGATTGTCAAATGAGTGGGTTGAGAATAAAACATAAATGTCTTCGATTCTTCCCAGAGGGCATATATACTCCTTGGTTCCCTTTCAGTAACGCATATACCGCCGTGAAGTAGTTGTGACTCGAGTCTTGGGGTACGCCTCATTGGACCTTTTTTACGTATCCATCAATTGGAGGGACTCCTAGGGCTGCGTGGCTGATGCATAGACTAATTTTCCTTTCCAATAATAATATCATCCGCATCAAAACTTCGATTACATTCAGCTCAGTGTATTCTAATGTAAAATTTACAAAACTGGAAAACATCAGTCAACGCATTTTTCTCTCTTTGGGCAATCTGAACAGTAACTCTGGAACATTTCACCGAAGAATTCACATGACTAGTCAGCTTGGACTAGTCAGCATACAAATATCGATATCCCCACGTAGCTGCGACAAAAGCTGTGATATTGACAACAACACTTGGCCATTCACACCCTCCTCCTCAAGGAGCACCCAGAGAGGATCAAATAACCATATTGTCCACAAAATGTAGGCGTGGATGAAGAGTAAACAAGAACAGTTGCATCCGTATGGGACCTACATTCATGGCAGAACCTGGTGTTAAGTAACTTATCAGAAAGTTTACTTACAAGGCCTGGCTTGCATGGTCGCTAAACTGTGTTTAAGTTTCAGCACTTGGAAAAGCCATCTGCAAGTCCACCCACATCTGTCGTGAATGTACAGCAAACCTTCTTCGGACAAAATTCATGGAAAAAACCCAGTGTCTGTGACTAGTGCTCGGCAGTATGCTACTTCAGCTGCAGTTTAATTACAGTTCAGACCGAGATTCCCCATCGTCTTCCGACTTATATTCTGTGTTTACTTGAAGCAACCACGGATGGGACTGATTAGCCGCCAGTGTAGTTATGCGACCAAGACCACTGTACTTAACATAAACGGGCAATAGATTTCTACTTGCTTTGTTTTATCTTGCCTGGATACAGGAGTTACATTGTCCGCCTGAAGTAAACACTGTCTAATCAGATTTAGCACGCACACAAAAATGAGTTGCGCGATTTACCAAGGATTAAATATACACATCGTCGATTAATTTGAGGTGTTGTTTCGCCATGGGCGTCTATCAATTCGGTCGCGCCAAACAGTCTGGATCTATAAGTAAAAAATTATAGCGATAAAGAGTCTCTTTACTTCAAACTCCGTAATTCTGAGCGTTTAATTCCTATGGTCTTGTCCTGTCCATTCCTGTCCCGAGAACAGATCCATATAAATATATAGTCTAGGATATGTATCCTGGTTGTGCAGTGCAAGCTTGGGGATGATGAGCTCTATCGGAGAGTCCTTACTTGTGACAAAATTATGAATATGTTTAAACAATTCATTCTTCTTTGGTTTTGTGGGCCAGAACTTTGATGTTTTCTTACCTGTTCACTTGAAGTATGACTGGCGCTCTATATCTCGGTCGATGGAAATGAATTGATTTTTTGCTTTTCACTAACGGTACTTTTCTGCTAATTGTAGTAAGTCACGGAAAGTTAGCTTAATTTCGTCAAGCCATCTGGTCAAAAGTGTTTGTGGCGTCAGAAAATACGCATTTCGTTTTTCATTAATCTTCAGCTTCCAATCACTGAAAAGGTTTCTTACATATAAGTTCACATTCTTTTGGATACTTTGAAAAAGACAAAAATTCTACTTTCACAATGCACATTAATAGTTTTTCCTCCGCTTGTTTAGTTTTAATTTCACAATGACTCTGCGTCATAGATCAATGCGTAGACGATATTTTAGTTTGTGCCCACGCAATAATCTTATTGGGTGTTGCAACCGTTACGCTGAAGGTCCGAAGTACAACCGTCGCATTTCACTCAATGAACGTGGTTTCTGATTGGTAGGTTATTTTTATACTCCTAGATGATATCTGGAGTTTTATCCCCTCATAAAAATTCCGCATTGAATGGAATACTGTAACGTGTACTCTTCTTGGGCTCTTTCGGGTAATGTCCCATCAAACACCCAGAAGTTTGGAATCCGATTCCCCAGAAACAGTACTACCCTGTGCTCCGGACTTTCCTGTAATACCCACTTGCGATATTTCACACCCTCATGTTCGACACAGGCCTGCTCCTCTGGATGAACCTGAAGAAAACAGAGATACTCTAGAAGAATTACTTTCTGAGTCACTCATTCAAAGTGAGTTTCTCCTGCATTGTTGTCGTTGAACGAATATTGCTTGGGCCTGTATCATAAGCACGGTGGTGAAACGACGAACATATTTCATTTGTTTGACTGTTGTATTAGGTAACACTGTATACACTATTGTGTTATTTAATTTTTACCAAGCAGAAAAAATACTGCGGTGGATAATAGATTTGCACACGGTTTCTCTATTTAAGCATTGCCATTCACGCACAACTACTGAATGTCTGGTTCCATGGTTAATATCCTTTGAACCCATGGTTCACAACCAAGTGACACCTGATCTACGGGAAAAATATGTGCGGAGAGATGCTTCTGGGGAAATGTTGCTAGTTTGAAAAGGGAAGAACGAATAAGACTTCTTATCAGTTTTCTCTCATACCTTATCACCGTCATCATAGAAAAACCTGAAAAAGCCCATTGAATATATATTCAGAATATCTATAGATGCAGCCAAAGTTTAAGGTCTGTGTATAGCAAGGTTGACCTACGATTGGTTACAAAAATCGGTCAGGAGGCGTTTGAATTGCCAGGTACAAGCTGATTATATCGGGTTGTCTTTCTGCGTTTGAGTTCTGAATCTTTCGAACAATATGCTCCCAGGTCAAGAATGGTAAAAGCACGCGGCTGTCGGGCCAAAGTACTGAAGGCGCTTGGCGAGATTTTATTTGTGAAAATCAAAGTGCAAGCACTCTGTAAATATAACACATGCTCAGTAAATTAGATTGACTGTGATTCAAAATAAGTGGCTTCTAGACGAGAGACAGAATAACATCGATCTGCTGATGGTAGATTGAAGAAATTCAGAAATTTTCAGTTGATATTTCGTCCTATAAGTGAAATGAATCTATACTGAGAAGCAAAGATGCACTGCCAGCTACTTATTGCTTACAGGAAATCATCAGGAGTGATGATGTTGCAGAATTCATGGAAGTTTGTAGCTCGCGAACCTTCGGTTGGTACATCACACTCTCAGCTGTTCGTCTACGAGTGACGGATCAGAAGTGTGTCTAGCTCGTGCTGAGACAGGATGCAGCGCTCAAGACAGTACGGAAGAAAACATTGAGATTTAAAGCTAGCTGATAACCGGAAGTTTACTTTAACTGAAGGTTTAGCGGTTCACTCCATTTGGGCGTGCATGACTTTGATTTTCCTTCCAGAAACTACTTTGCTTTTTCCATTTTTGAGAAGAGCACGTCTTGTAATGTGGCTCGTCTGCCGAGAGGAGCATGTGTAGGATACGTGACCTACGTGCTAGAAATCCTCGTGTTGAAAACCGTCATATTTAAGCGATTATTTTTTCAGTACCGATCTCCCAACTTTTGACCGCTGAGTTAAAGCGTAAACAAGCTGGATAAATAGTCAGTTAGGGGCTCATCGACTGCAACACTAATGTCAAATGCTAAATAATGGTGAGTTTATGAAAGAACTTCTTGATATTTTCGAAAGAAGTTTAGATGCAATAACACCATCGGAAACATGAAACGTTGCGGTGGAAATTAAAAGCCGGCTAAGCATTCGTACCAAGGTGCCCCAAGGGATCTGGACGCACAACAGTGAGCATAAGTTTCCTGAAAACTCTTCGAAAACCCATGAACGGTTTCGCCGTTTTCGGATCTCACCAGGTGGGGAGGCTTACGAGTTTCCATCAACTGAACAGTCCAGTTTGCATATTCCGCAGGCAACTTAAATGAATCTAGCTGGATTTCTCGTTTATTTTGGGGGTGGGGTGGGGGGGTAGCTGTGCCTGCTTGATTAGTCCCATGCAAGGACAACCACTCCTGAGAGCTACCGAAGAGGTTTCAGCATCAATGCAGATAATGTGTCGTAATGTCTCAATAGCTCGCAAATATCATAACGTATGAAAAATGAGGTGGCCTGGTGTAGCGCATTAAGTTGGAGATGACCGTCATAAATGGGATATTCGGCTAGATTCATTCGAGTATGTGGTCACAACCATATTCTTGCACAAATGAAAGTGTTCATATTAATGGACGTTTATTCCTTAACAGAACCCGGAGACCAGCGCGCCTCTCAGGTTAAACTTGTTCCATATGAAGTCATTCTTAGGCTACCATGAAGCTTCTTGGAGCGTTTTTATCAAGTATTCTTTCAAAATACGCCAGACCGCCCTAACATTAGAAGCACTTTGGTGCAACTTTACTTATGCATCACTATATATTTCCAGCTACTTTTGTATAATCATATCAAATGGTTTGACGATACTTACAGAAGACCTTTAGAACGGCTTGCTCTATAGTCGAGTTCCTGACCAAAACCTTCGTCAATCTTATTAGAAGTTGGTGATCCATGCCAAGCGCATTAGACTCGGTTGAACGGTCTGTTCTTTTTGACACGCTTGCCCACCAAGGAACGCCCCGGAAGTGTGTGAACGTTATACGATCCTTGTATCCTCAGACTTCAGGACGTTTGAGAGTGTACGGAGAGCTCTCCAAAAGCTTCCGTACACAAAGCGGTGTCCGTCAGGGATGTCCACTCTCTCCACTCTTTTTTAACTTCGTGATCAATGAAATAATGCGACGAACGCTGCAGGGTCCCTGGGTGTTCAAATATCCTGTGAAGAAAATCTTGTCGATCTGGAATATGCAGACGACATCGTTCTCATGTTCGAAGAGCAGGGGAAGCTCAAGTGTTTTTGGGTGAACTGACCAAAGTCATTCCTTTGGTGCGCAATTTGCACCCACAAGGTATAAGGTCATCCTCGTGGACGTGCAGTCACTGAACACGTCTCCTACAACTCAGGGATAGGTACTAGAAGTTGTGGAGCGTTTTACTTATCTTAGAATTTGTATTAGTTCTGATTGTAGTGTCACAAATGAAATGAATGCACGAATCTGCAAGGCTCGGGTCGCGTTTGCTAATTTGAGACACCTATAATGTCAAGATGGTTTATCCATGAATCTGAAGGGACGTGTGTATCAAGCTAGAGTACAGGCTGTTTTGTTGTATGGCTGTGAAACTTGGCCTATTCGAGCAACGGAACTGAGACGTCTACAGGTGTTCGACAATCGTTGTCTCAGAACCATAGGTCGCGTGGGTTGGTGTCGGCGAATCCGTAACGAGGCAGTTAGAAAGCGTATATTTGGTTGTGTAACGGGTACTTCCATTGAAGAATGTGTCCAGCAGCAGAAGCTGCGTTGGTTGGGACATGTGTTGCCTTTGCCGAAACATCATTTGCCGAAGAGAGTGCCATTTTCCATGCCAAATTCAGAGTGGCGTAAACAGAGAGGTGGCCAGCCCGTGAATTGGCAGAGGAGTATGAGGGAGATCACGAAACGCTTGCGTGCTATCGGTGCTACTCGCCGCCCAGGATGGGGATCGCGTGATCCTTACTGCCTGGTTGGAGACACTACAAGATATGGCTGCCAACCGATGTCAGTGGCGTTCTTGTTGTCAGTTTCTATCCAGATTGCCTGAGTGAGCGTCTGCAGGTATAGACACCTCGAAATGATTATGGTAAGCTAGCACTAAGTCCCTTCCCCGTCCACCTTTATCCTTTTCTTTACAATAAGGCATTCACATAAATCATGGTTGTACGGCAGTGAAGCATCCGTGTTGAACATTGATGTCATGCTGTCGGTGATGATGATGATGATGATCCATGCCAGTCGATCGTTCAAATTGCTTCCATTACTATCAACGGTACTATCATGTTAGTCATATTAATTATTTAATTAAACGGTCAGCTGTTTTTTTTACCACAAGCAGCATTAAGCTACAGTGCGGACTGTTGTTTTGTATGACTGCGAGACCTAGCCTGTTCGAGCAGCAGAATTGAGACGTCTACAGGTGTTCGACAATCGTTGTCTCAGAACCATAGGTCGCGTGGGTTGGTGTCGGCGAATCCGTAACGAGGCAGTTAGAAAGCGTATATTTGGTTGTGTAACGGGTACTTCCATTGAAGAATGTGTCCAGCAGCAGAAGCTGCGTTGGTTGGGACATGTGTTGCCTTTGCCGAAACATCATTTGCCGAAGAGAGTGCCATTTTCCATGCCAAATTCAGAGTGGCGTAAACAGAGAGGTGGCCAGCCCGTGAATTGGCAGAGGAGTATGAGGGAGATCACGAAACGCTTGCGTGCTATCGGTGCTACTCGCCGCCCAGGATGGGGATCGCGTGATCCTTACTGCCTGGTTGGAGACACTACAAGATATGGCTGCCAACCGATGTCAGTGGCGTTCTTGTTGTCAGTTTCTATCCAGATTGCCTGAGTGAGCGTCTGCAGGTATAGACACCTCGAAATGATTATGGTAAGCTAGCACTAAGTCCCTTCCCCGTCCACCTTTATCCTTTTCTTTACAATAAGGCATTCACATAAATCATGGTTGTACGGCAGTGAAGCATCCGTGTTGAACATTGATGTCATGCTGTCGGTGATGATGATGATGATGATCCATGCGATCGGATCGTTCAAATTGCTTCCATTACTATCAACGGTACTATCACGTTAGTCATATTAATTATTTAATTAAACGGTCAGCTGTTTACCACAAGATGCTGTCGGTGATGATGATGATGATGATCCATGCCAGTCGATCGTTCAAATTGCTTCCATTACTATCAACGGTACTATCACGTTAGTCATATTAATTATTTAATTAAACGGTCAGCTGTTTTTTTTACCACAAGCAGCATTCTCGGTGTAATGCTTCTGCTTATTTATTGAAATAGCTTCCACTGATTTAAAATACTTCCCTATGTGTCGAAAAGACCACTGAGAATTAGTCTTTTCAGGTTATCCGCAGACAAAAATTTTTAAAATCATATTGAATGACTTCATCATAAGATGAGTCATGTCACATTCGGTTCGCTAATAAGGGTGCTTATTTGATGCACGTTTTTAGTTTCCAAAACTCAGGAGACCACATGTGATGTCCACTGAAAACAAGACATTTCGTTCTGTATAGGGGAAAATGTTAGTAGTTTCGGTAGGGTAGATGGTTATCGGCTTGTTCGCTGAGCTGGGCAATTTGTG